ATGTGATTGGGTTAATGTAGGTTCTAGATTTCATTAAAAATATAAATGTACATTATTACATACACAAATATTACCACCCAAACAATAATAGTTCAATCAGCAATGATTTTAAGTTACAATAAATAAACAAGCTGATAAAGGATGTAAGAAAATTACCAAGCGCACCGAATAAATGTTATTCTATCCTTTTTGGATCGATCACTGGAACCAAAAGTAAGGTGCCATGTGATCATTCTGTTCATGCTGTTAAGACAGGTCGAAGATAAAATAGTATCAAAAGTTAGGAATGTCACTCGAAAATTTTCAGTCCTTTAACTAAATATCGGTATTGTGGTGCCTGACACTTGTCAAAATTTTGCCGGTTTAGAAATCATAGATACACTAAATCCAATAAAATTGGTCATAAAGAAGCAGTCTGCCGAACCAGAGAAAGTTTGAGATCAAAGTCAACAAAGCGTCCTCGCTGGTGTCAAAACAAGTGTAAAAAACAGTATGTGCGCTACACTTGCTCTGAGCATAGTAGATAAGGGAAGGTATGTGTAATTAATGATTAGAGGTGTTCACATTCAACTGAAATTGGATACAGCATCAAATATCACATTATTCTCTGAACGAACATGGAATTTAACTGACTGTCCATAAGTACTGCCAACTGAGCACAGCTCGGAATGCATCCGGAGACATTATAGCTTGTTGGATTTGAATCGACAACTGCATCTCTGTGCTAATGTGGTATGGCAACTCGAACTGATGTACGTACGTAAGAATGTCTACGCTGTGACCGACTGACTGGCTGAAGGCTCTTGGTCACACATCCGCATTAGGTCACGAGTGGAAAGGCCGTACTCGACTTCTGCAATCACTAGCCGGTCTAGATCAATCACTTCTCAAAGTATTGATAACTTATCAAATATATCTTCGAACCTCCTCTCTCCTGACTTTTGAGATTACTGGGTGGTCACGATTCATTTACAGGAGGTGTTACTGGTAAAGTGTTGTCAAACTACAAATATCTGTGGCATTTTCACTAGTCTGTCATGCAATTGTGAAACAACTATTGTAGCAACACCTGAGTAATATATTTCCTTGGACTTCGTGATACTGCATGCCGCAAAAATAGAAATACCCTTCTCCATTTAATTTCGGGAGCAGAAAATAGTTTTTTCAAATTTATTTATAATTAATTTAAACTCTTGACCATGTAAGAAGTAGTTTTAAAAGAAGTAACACAAAAGGATGCCTCGATACCATACTGTCATTAGGGCTGCGATTAAAGTCAATTCCATTTCGTAATTGTGGCTGTCTACTTAGTACCAATCAGAATGATGCGGAAATCATCATGTCCACTGTATTCGTAATCAATGGTGGCCGGCTATCCTCATTCTGTGTTTTTTCCCTTGTTTATTCTGTGTAGCGGCATAATTTATTATTTCACTATGCTGACATTCCGTCATTAATGTAATACTCCAAGTATTCTCGCAAATTTTCTTTGAATCAGCTTTGTTATCTCAGTTTTTGAAGCTGCTATTCAAGTCAATGTATTCCCCCAGGCAATCTCACTTGTTTTATGTTATGACATGTAAATAAGTTTTGTTTTGAGTATCATCGTTGCCCAAGCCCAATCACTAAATGTCAGGGTGCTCAAGCTTGAACTTTCTGGAAAAAAGCCTTTGATAGTCATACCGCTGACTTGGAGAAAGAACTCTAACCATCAAAATCATCCGAAGCTATCTCTTGTAACAGTTGACAATGCTTCCGACGTAGAGAACGTCCTGTTAGCTAGTCACTTACTGAAATCCGATGGGAACATAAGATTACTGCCTGACATACCATATTCTGAACGAAATCTCATTCGGGACATCTCTAAAGAACTCACGAGAATTTTTTCCGTGGAAGAAATATCATTGTTCAAAATGCACTGGAAAATACAGACCCTGGTCAACCAAACTCTTGTATTAGAAAATGGAAATTCATCAAGCAACCCTTGAAGATCAAAAACATACCGACTCATCATGTGACGAGACTAGCCAAGACGGATGGAGATTCTAGACCCCGGCTAGTTGATATAACCTTCCCACCCTTCCATATGGCGGCCGCAACTCTAGAAGCATTTCGTGCCAACAGACGTCGGTTGCCACATGACGTCAAGATCAAGAACAAAGGCAGGTTGGAGCTGACAATTCCAGTTGTGGACTGTTTTGATCATAAAGAAAACGTGTAAATGATAGGGACCACCAACTCGGAAAACTTTGTACAGGTAAGCTATCTGTCCATTCACGTAAGACTCATACAGAAGAACAGAAAGAAGCTCACGCGTTTCAAATTAAAAGCATAAACTGCTCATACATGAACGCCACGAGTTCACCAAATAAAATGGATAAGCTATGTGAACTTAGCAACGCTAATAATACTCATCTGATAGGAACATCTGAAACTTGGATATCTTCCCAGTTTACGGACCAGGAGCTAGCAATATCTGGGATGTCTCTGTTTCGCAACGACAGGAAAATTGGAATGGGGGCGGGTTAGAATTATATATACGATCATGCCTGAAGGCGCATCAACTTCACAACCAAGGGTTTCTCAATCTTGATGAATCCGTATGATGTTCATTAAGATTGTCCACCACCTCGAGCTGTCTAGTTGGGATCATCTACAGGAAGCCCACTGCTGACATCGAGTACAACAATGGTAAGCTGGAAGGATTAACTCGCCCTACGCTTCTCGGATTCCCTCATATCATGATTCTAGGGGACTTCAATCTTCCTAGAGTCAATTTCATGGAACATGCCTATATATGAGGTGAAGACTACACTGAAGCTCGGTTCTTCAACCTCATTGAGGATCTGGGATTATTCGAAAATATGAAGTCGGCATCGCGTTGAAGAAATAGTCAGACGCTGGCTGGTAATTTATTAATGAAGAATTCCCAGTCGACAACCTTTTAATTATGGCTCCCCTGGGGAAAAGCGACCATGCCACTATATCCTTCAGTTTTGTCAGCATAGCTGAGCTAAGATGTCCCTACAACAATAGGCACTAGAATTTCGAACGGTTGAATGTGTCAGCTTTACAGGACTATCTACAACAGGTGGATTGGAATGTTCACCCTCACCTTGAAGTAGATGCTCATTGGGATTTCTTACTGCACACACTCTTATGTGCTACTAAGCTTTCAGTTCCTCAAACAGTCTACAAAAGCTACAAGCAACCTGCAGTCGTCAAGAACGGCACTATTCGTTTGCTAAGCCGCATAAGGTAGCGTTGGGCTGAATACAAACGAACTGCGCGTACAGGCATTACAAACATAGAAGGAACATATACACAAAGGCAATAAGAGAAGACAACCTTCAGTACCAGACCAAGCCTATCGATAAATTTGTCTCCAATCCGAAAAGCTTATTCTGTTATGCAGCTTCTCTTGGACAAGCCAAAACTGGAGTTTCCCAACTGGTAGGTCCTAATGGTCTGACCAATAACGACGGTGACGCCACTGGCTGAACAGTACTCTCGGACATTTCAACCAACTCACATCAACTACAATGATGAAAGCTTTATCTGCAACTGTATAGGACTTTCCGAAGTGAACCTGAGAGCTGACGTGATGTTCCGTGAGCTGCATCACCTAAGTAAAAACAGCTCTCCTTGTTCGGATATGGTTCATTATGCTATATTGAGGGGGGCAGCTTCAATCTTGGCAACACCGCTTGGCGTGATGTTCCCACACTCGCTTAATCGAGGCAAACTACCGGAGATTCGGAAGCTGGCTCACATCACACCAATTTTCATAGGAGGTCGACACAGCGAACCCTCAAGCTACCGACCGGTGGCCTCTCTCTCCATACCTTCTGAAATTATGGAGTCCCTGATATGCGGTGGTATACACGAATACTTATTATCAATAAAGTTTTTCTCAACCCAACAGCATGGTTTCAGTAAGGGTCATTTTAGTATAACTCACGGGCTATGGAATGTCCTGGTGGGGTCCCCCAGGACTCATTGCTAGGACCTCTTCTCTTCTTGGTTTATATAAACGATCTTCCACAACAAGTATCGTCTGACCTATTGCTTTCTGCTGATGATATGAATTTTTTGGAGAGAGATACACAACCAAGAGGATATACTGGCACTTCAGAAGGATCTGACTCGACCCCAAGGTTGGGCAGATGAAGACGGACCTACCTTCAACACTTCAAAGTGCAAAGTAGTCCATCTGCGACATGTTGCAGACTATAGTTACAACTTGGGAAAATCCTCTCTAGAAGTTTCCCAAGTCAAAAAGATTTAGGAGTGTTGGCACCCTACGACCTGAAGTCGTACGCTAACTGTGACAAAAACGCCTCTCAAGCAAACCTTGCACTGGTAACATTGAAGCTCATTTTCCGCCAGTTTGACGGTAGAACATTCCACATAATCTTTAACAGTTTTATTCGTCCCCGATTAGAGTACGGAAACATAGTATTTCCTCCCTCCCTCCAAAAGGATAAGGACACTCTGGAACGTATTCAACGTCGAGCCACGAAATCAGTTCGGGGACTCAAATTCAAACCTTATGAAGAGCGCATCCAATCACTTAACCTTTACCCGTTAGAGTACAAGCGTCTTAGAGGTGACCTTACAGTATCCTTAACACTTCTGGTCATCCCCTTAAACATCTACTTAAGCTTAGTCACAATATTAACCTAAGAGGTAACACCCATAAACTGGAGACCCGATATGGCAGAACGGACAGTGGGCACAACTTCTACTCTTTAACAGTTTTCAACTGCTGAAATTCGCTGGTGACCGAGCTAGTCCAAGTGACTTTCCAAGAGTCCTTTAAGAGGAAACTTGACCTATTCTTAAGGACTTAGGATAACATCTTATAATGATTTACCAATTTCTTTTTTCGCCCATTATCGTTGATATACCTAGGTTTCTGCCTGGAGGTATTGGTGATCCATTGCTACCAGACACGGAAGTCCGTCAAGCGAAAGCTTCTATTCCGTCCACAACCAATTGAACCGTTCGAAGGTCGTTTGGATGAGACGGCGGGCGCCTCTGAGCGCACCTGACTTTCTTATCGTTACGTTCATGTTCTAAATGACGGACTGGAACCTATAACCTCCTAGCTTCTAGTTTGCACCAAACATTATTGTCATAGAGAAACAGTAACAATATATATGATGTAAAACGTTCAATTACTGATTTCTCTTTTTGTTTAGACAATCCCAGATCATTAAACAAATCAGTCTTTTTATTAATTGGAATAACTAAGTATCTTTTCGAGCAATTCTACACTCTCCTTAAATTCTGCATTGACCATACGTTTATTATACTGCTGGAGTACCGTGCAATATATGTCGTGGTCCATTTTAAAGCCCTTGAAATTAGTCTACTGATTAATACGTGATACGCTTTTTCTAACCTCTCGCAATCCTTCTTGTGTTCTTGTACGAGAGCTGAAATATCCATGGCTTCAGGAGCACCACGTTGTGAAACGAACTGTAAAATAGCTAGGTCACCACTAATTTATAAAGGCCGTATATATCACCCGTACATCAAAAATACAATAATTGGAGGAGGATTGATGGCTTTGGGCGAAATTTGTTCTCAGTCAATTAAAATGTACTTTTTTGGTCCTCCTAACTATAGTTCAGGCTCTGATAACGATTTATGCTCTGCCTGTGATCAAGAATCATCTAAAAAATCTTGGATACATCTCATCACTGATACCAGCAATTACAACTTCAACACCATTAGTAAGTATCAGCTTGTCTTTTTATCTTAAAATGTCCGACTGAGTGACAGTTTTCTCTGGATTCATAAGCAAAACAAATACTTCTGTAGATTCTAAACGACAATTGGTTGTATGCTGCTCCACCACATTACACGTTTACCTTGAAGTCTGATAATGGTTAGCATTCAGTCTTTAGTAATAAGGATAGTAGGTTGATGAACCTGTGTTAATCCTGACAGATTTCCTTCCAGTGAAGGTCCAGCTTCTTTTTGAAAATGTTCACTGATGGTACTGATACCACTTGTTCTGGTAAAGCGTTCCAATCATCGACCACTCGATGAGAAAAACGGGACCCCACCTTTAGTTTATTAGATCGCGGTTTCAGAACCTTCTTGCTATGGCCTCGGAGATTATTAGTGCTGGAGGGAGCAAAAAGATAAGACATATTAACACCCAGATCATAATTAAAGATACGAAATGCCAGTATAAGGTCACCTCGCGTCCTACGATAAGATAAGGGGAAAAGATTTAGACGTTTTAAACGCTCATCGTAAGGGAGTTTAGAAAGACCCTTTACTAATTTTGTCCCTACACGCTGGACACGCTCAAGCGATTTAGTATCCTTTATCAGACAAGGGCTAGCTGCTTGGATACAGTATTCTAAGTGTGGCCTTACATAGGTGGGATATAAAATTCGAAACATCTCGTCAAAGCATGTAAATTCTCTGCGAAGCGACCATAGCGCGCGATGGCCTTTGGAAGCAACCGCATTGCAGTGCGTAGTAGTTTTTAAGTCGTGACTTATAATTACTCCTAAGTCTTTGTGCTCATGAACGCGTGGCAGAGATGTACCATTAATGGTATAATGGTAATTAATATCGTGCCCGATGTGCATAAACATGCTCTTCCTGGAATTAACTTCCAGGCCCCAATCATGAGCCCACCTAACTAATTTGTTTAAGTCTGCTTGCAGATAACAACGATCAGTCTCATTTCTTATTGTTCTCCAGATTTTAACATCATCCGCAAACAATAACGTCGACGACTTAAGTAATAAAGGTAGTTCATTAATATACAGAAGGAAAAGTAGAGGGCCTAAGATGGTGCCTTGGGGTAAACCACTTTTGACCGGTTTCCATTCGGATAGCGTTCCATTGACCCTTACTTTCTGTCTGCGATCACATAAGAAGCTTCCTATCCATTCCTGTATAGCACCTGTTATTCCAAAGCTCGAGAGCTTTTGCATAAGACCTAAGTGTGAAACCCTATCAAACGCTTTGCTAAAATCTGTGAATATCACGTCGACAGACTGGCCGTTGTCTAGGGCAGCTGTCCAATCCTCTCTCGCAATGAGTAAGTTAGTCAAGCATGAATGCTTGTTACGAAACCCATGTTGCTCGGGAGTTAACAGATTGTACGAATCTATGTGGCTTAGTAGCTTAGCCCGAATTAATTTTTCAAGTAACTTAACTACTATACTGGTCAGGCTAACAGGCCGGTAGTTGGATACTATCCGTCTCTGACCATCCTTAAATATAGGACCAACTATGGCGTCTTTCCAGTCTCTAGGTAGTTGAGCCTGTGAAAGGGACATGTTGAAGAGCATCGTGAGCGGTCTTGAGATAATGTCCGCAAGCGACGACAGTAAACGTGGGTGTAACCCATCGGGGCCCGGTATCTTACAAGGTTTTAGGTTAGTTATCAAAGGAAGAACATTGTAGTGTAGAAGACTATCTTGGACTACTAGACTATGATATGGCATCCGTTGGCACGTATGTGTGTAAAAATGCTGACATCTGGATCTGAGCACTATTCGTAAATCATGGCGTTTTTGTTTTGTCCCGTACCTTTCATTCGCCGATATAACTGACTTAGATCTATGTTTTCAATGCTTAGCTTTACGATCGGTATTGCCCCGAATGCTGTTATTTTTTTATTTAGTGCGGTATGCAACGAATTAGACCTATGAACCTTTGTCATATGGTCACATTGTTTATGATTGACTTACCACTTTTCTAATTCTTAAAATATAGCCAAGTTGACTTTAAAATTAATGTCTTTTTATCATCACCAAATTTTTCTCGTTCTCGTACAGTTTAGTTGAGGCCGGAGATCTTAATGCACGGTCCCGCCCGAGTAGTTTTTTCTCGCAATTACAAAAGTTTTATTCCACACATACCAATGTTTGTCAGCTTTCTGAGTAATATATGTCATATTTCCTTTGTTTTCGTTGTCATAGTTAGACAGAGTGCTATCGGATCATTCCAAGGATTCTATCAGTTTATATATTATAGTTGGTTAGACAAAGTATTCTCTGGAGTATCGATGACCGTAGTCGCAAAGAAGGTGGTGTTAGATGAAGTGTTAATAGGACCTATAAGCCTGGCAATATTTTTCCTTTGTAAGTCAACTTTATTTGAAATATGCCCTGTACAACTTGATTTAAATTACAAGATAAAGTAAATGATTAACCTACTGTAAATCTTTCAATATTTAATTAATCCAAAGTATCTTCTATGAATACTTCATATTATATGTAGACTTACCAGAGCTTACTATATATATGTAAATACTAAGGTAACTACTAGGAATTAAATTGTTCTTCCCCTTTACTAGGGAATGATTGTGATCACATTGTCTCAAATTTTACAAATTTCATTAAATAGTAGATATGGATTGGCATTCGCATTTCTATTTCAAGGCGAAATTTCGGCAGTCTTTCAATGTTTCTGCATTTTTTCCTTCTGCAGAATTCAGTCATTTTTGCCAACCAAAGTTGCCAAAATTATCTCCTATCGGCTAAAAAGTAATCATTTTCTGGTTTCACGGACGATGTGTTTAGGAACCATAAGTAATATCGCCGAAAATTGTTGGAACCAGTGACTAAGTTTTGATATTAATAGATTTAGATTTGTGCTTTGAAGATAAAATTCCGATGGTCTATGTTTGACTTTTTCGTAGTGAGCTTATGTGCGTGAGAATCCCTTGAATGGGTCAATTGAAGGTGAAAATAGAACTTCTGTTAGTAGATTGCAATGGCCGAATCCCTAGCTTTCAAACTGTTCTGCTGTATATCAGGTTTAAAATCATTATTAGTAACATGTAAATCATCTTAAATCTTTTAATCAATGGTTAACGTTAAGAGGTATCAGGGAGTGTCAGCACTATGTACTGGATTGATTGGTGCTCAGAAACTCACCCAATCGTGTTTAAAACAATGTAAAGCGGAGACAACTTAGAAATAGCCTCAAAAAGTTTACGTAATCGTCGGATTCAGTAGTGACCAGCGAAAGGCAAAGCTATGTAAAAGGCGACGCCAAGCAACAGTAGACAACCTTCCAGACTTATCAAAGAAACAAATATTAAGAAAATCGGTAACCAGTGAGATTTTCTGAAAAAGATGAAACAATTATTTACTCTCAATACAAAAGACTGCAATGAGCGCTTTGAAAAACAGTTTAATTGCTCCTTTGTTATCTTTTTGTCCTCTAATTTCACCAGACAAGCCCCCAAACTCTTATTGGAGTAGAAAAGATCATAATGAGGGAGTGCAGCAGGTTCTGATGGATTAACCCCAGTAATCTTTAAGTATGGTGGTCGAATTTCGACTAATGAATTAACTGAGATCTTAACTAAAGTCGTGGAACTGAACGTAGTCTAACCCACTTGGTCTCAATCTCTGATCGTTACAGTCTATAGGAAAAGACATAGGTCCTCTTTTGACAACCATTGAGGAATCAGTTTGACTGGTATGATGTATAAAATATTGCCCTCAATAACCGTCCAACGCTGAACTAGGGCTTGTGGCAAGCAAACTCTGGAAAACTAGTCTGGTTTCAGACATGGACGTCGATGTGTAGACCAAATATTCACTCCTCCATCTTGGTATTTAATCATTTGTTTTCGAAGCATTTCTCGTGTATAAGATCTAGTTTTCCATTAGTTAGCGACTCTACCAGTTACCCTTATAGGGAAGTTTTTTAAACACTATGAACCCTTCCCAAAGCCTTAATGTGCACTGCCTAACAAGCTACAATTTTTTTCAAAGGTCATGACTATCTTTTCTATGATTACCTCCAATGTTCTGACGGGCACTTGTGAGGATGATCGGTCTGTAGTTTGGTGGGTGCTGCCTGGATCATGTCTTTTGGATCTCAGTGACTGTCACATCTTTCTAGTGTACTGGCGATGTAAACTAGGTGAACGATATTCTGAAAATCGTGGCAGCTACGTGTATTACACGTCTGAGCATTTAGTAGTGTAATGCATCTGGCCATGTTAATTTGATAGTATCTTTAGGGCTTAATGTCTTAAGTATGTTTTGGTCGACATCAATGATTAACTGGTTCAGGAAAAAAAATACCGCTGTCGTTTTTGGATGATGCATCATCTCTTAATCAGATTGTTTTTAATAATGTTCAGTTTAAGCATGGTTTAAACATTAAATGTATTTGATCTATTAGGTTAGAATGCCATGTTGACTACCCAGTAACAAATAGATTAAATTCAACTGGCAGACATTATGAAATACTATTAGCAAACTGCCACAATGTGATCTTTTACTGTATTTTATTTTTTACTAGATAATGGATTTTGTGATACATTCACGATGGCTGGTGCTTTTCAGCGGTGTCGTCAATCATTTCTTCCGGGTTATTTGTCAGACCTAGTTTATTGGCCTGTATTGCAAACCATTAACTTCGCCCTTGTCCCTCCTGGATATCGTGTCTTATATGTCATCTTTTTCACTAGTATATGGAACACTTATTTATGTTTCTTTAATGCTCGTATGGTAAGTATCGCAAAATATATTCTTATACATCTACCATTTTCTCATATATGCAGTCATATATACCATAAACTAGTTTGTCCTAAGCGTTATCGCATCAGTTGGACCTAAGTAAGACTAAGTCGTCACTAATCTTATATGAACATTCTGAATGAATAGTTTGATAGGAACCGGGTCTTGAGTTTTTTAAAGGCATTGTGTGTGAAGATCATGTTTGAAATAATTTTGGCAATTGAATTACAGGTTAGAATGTATAACAACCTTAGTACATGAGAAATTGTGATCCGATATATTCTAAACTCTCCATTGGTCAGTCAGCTACAACGTAAGACCAGGCACATATATGCATCGGTCCAAGTTGCCACACCTCATTAGCACAACAAGATGAACACCAAATCCATATAAGTAGTTACTTCAATGGTAGCAATATATAAAAGAAAGATTGCATATAAGGATATAATACAGGAAGAAAGAATTAGTTCGTAGAAAGAAAGGTATAAAGCAGTTTTAATCTCACGGTTCAAGGGAAGACAAAGAGTGTATACACCTGCATCATTGTGATCGATTCTGAGCCATGCCACACAGAGTCTCCAACCACTGTTTACAATAGTCATGTGGACCCCAACCAATTAGTCTGCATCCACCAACATGGCTAAGGCCGGAAGTTAGTGACTTCAAGGACCGATGTCTCGTTTTGGTTTGGCCTCCCCCAACTTTCTTCCAACCATCCCCAACACTAGTGAGTATTGCGTGTCGTGGTAATCGGTGTGGCGGGGGTGTTGTTTACGAAATTGAGGGGATGAAAAGCCAATGTCCGGCGCTTTAACCGGGTTGGTGGATATAGAGGATCCATCTAGGTGAGTTGGAAAACCCTGATTCCAAACCAATGGTGTATATAGGCTCCAGTATCCTGAGGGAACAAATGGCGTACGAATCAACCGTTGATCACCGGCTACCATGAGACCGCATCTCCTCACGATGCTCCACTGCCTTGTGGATCAGATCTTCCGGTCAAAGGCTCCGGGTGTGATCCCCTAAGAAAACCACGTGCTTCAGTTTAGGCACCTGGGCAGTATCACAGCCCTCACACAAATCGAATGAGATTTGTGAGGCGCATATTTATCTGGTGCTTCCTTGTACCAATATTTATGTGTTTAAATAAATAAATAAATTTGTAACCCTTTGGTTTAAATTACTAATTGATGTTACTGCTGTTTCCACAGCTGTTCGTATATCTTTCCAAGCAACACATGGGTCAACCTCGTTTACAGAACTATCTAAATGTGAACTCAGTTGTTCCTGGAATTTACATTTGGTTTTCTCGTCACTGAGTTCAATTCTAATGAGTCTTCTTAGTGTAGTTTTTCTGCGTCCAGTGAGGTGCAAACAAATGCATGCTCGTATTAAAGAGTGATCAGAGTATAAATATGTATTCCATTACGAGCGACAATCTTCTATCGAGCCTCTCCAACGATGACTGATGGCAATATGGTCTATTTGAGTCCATCGTTGGTTTGGTGCAGGTGGTCGCCATGTTAGACGATGTCTCTCCTTATGCTTAAAATTATTGTTTGCTAACAATAAACGATTGTCTGAGCATAGTTGCAGCAGATGATCACCATTATCTGTTTGCTGAAGCGGAATACTAAAATACCCACTTCAATGTATTTCTGTTTGGTTTAAGCTGTCTAATTGGGCATTAAAGTCGCCCGCTACGAGTACTATGTCTGAACGCTTAGTTTTTTGAAGAAGTTCAGAGATCTTTCTGTAAAAGCCATCTTTTACTTCATCCGGGCTGCGGTCAGTGGGAGCATAGGCAGAAACGACGAAAAGGCAACGACGTGTGTCCCTATTCTTCTGAGTTCTTACGGAGCCATTTAGCCGGACAGTACACAGGTAAATGAGAAGCATAGGGAAGCGCAGACGGCAAGTTCTTCAAATTCGTTTGATGAACCTCGAATCACTATTTATGGTCAGATAGGAAAACATGCTTAAGACATGGGGTGGCTGTGACAAACACACGCTCATTGAAAACAGTTAAGGTTATAAGCAGATAACTGACAAGGTTAAAATATATGTAAATAACTCAAAAAGAAATTTAACTGGTCTAACCAAAAGCTGGAATGGCCCATGTAGGCGTGGCACATATTTTCGTCTCGGGATGACTAGTGGGGTAGAAGTACTGATATCCTATTTCATTCAACACTGAGGTTAGTCGAAAATATGTAGCATCAGGAAATCTACATTAAATCTCACTAGTTAATATTATTCGTATATTTTCTAATGACTAGCTTCGATATTAGTTGTATTTGAACGTCATTCCCTATGGAGTTAACCAGTTTCAGAACAAAGTAGTTTATCTCAGATCAGGACCTCAAATTGACCCACTAAATTAAGTATGAACTGTTGTCATCGACACACTTAGTAAATGATATCATTTTGTCACCAAGACCTATTACTCCCGAGTCCCACCTCATATAAGGTCGTAAATCCATACCACTGAGTTCCAAATAAGGATTGACTTGGTGCTTATTATTTTCTGGTTTTGGTTCTACAGGTCCTGTTATAGCGAAAGTTTAAATCATGCTTCAAGTGAATTTCCATTTTCTTTTTTTATTAACTGATATTGGGTGGTAATTTGGTTTTAGGGCCGCAGTGATTCCGGGATCGAAAACAACCAACGAAGAGAAGATTGCAACTGAGGAAGCCTAGCAATATCCCATATTGTTTTTTAATACATTATTCTAATTACAACTTTTGGCGTCAGGAGCTTGGTTGTCGTTCTGTGACAATCACACTTCAGTTTGTATAATTTCTCCTAGAACATTACCATCTGCTTATTAAAATATCTGGATCATTTCAGACTTGATGAAAAGAATGTTCACTCATTTTCATAATCGTATTTATTTTCTTTTTTTGTCCACAACTGTATTTTTGGTGGTACAATAGATTTTGATCGTTAGATTTATGTTATTAACCAAACTATTCATCCTGTATTTTTACTCTTCTTAAAATTCCTCTAGAAATAAGTGAATCTAACTTACTTATATTATAAATCCATTTTTGCGTTTTGCTTTTGTTTTATAAACACTGTAAACAGAATACTTTTTATTATTTTCATGTTATATTTGTAATATGAAAGCCCAAACCATATGGAATAATAAGTTTCCAGTAACCGACAGTCTTGATATGTCTCTGTTTCAGTTCATTTAAATGTTAGTCGATTGATATGAAGCCCGAAGATCCTGGATTCGTTGTCTTTTGGGGTCGTATGCACATTGCTGAGGAGTCTCTTGCTAGGTCGAAACCTTTCAAGTTTTCAATGATGGTTTTCAATAAGAATAGTTCGTGGCATGCAATCGTATCAAAATTCTGTGATCTCCACAAAACCTTACACTATTAACAATTCATTAAACAGGAAATTCAGTGTTCTATAATGATCAGTATTACCGTAAATTGGTAAGAACACTGTTACTTGTTTGGAACAAGTATTTATTTAAAAATCTACCTCTTATTATCATTGTTAATATAGATACATAAATAAACACATATCTGAAATAAATTTATTTGCACTTAATTTTATCTAAAGTTTTATTCTTAACCAGAATAGTGACAAAAAGCTATAACAGGCAAGCCCTAGTTAGGTTGCATCATTATTGATACTTTTATAAACTGAAAAAAGCTTAATGGTTAATTTTATCGTATCAAATAGTTACAGATTATTTTAACAAATGATTATTATGATAGTTAGTACGTACACAATTGGCAGAATGTCAATTTCATTTACTTTTTCGCCTTAACTGCTGATCTTGTGTTAATCAGTCATTTTGATTCATAATTGATGATTCAGTTCCACGCTTGCTCATATTGCCGGTATCAGTTGAAAATCTTGGTAAAGTTGGATTAGGGTTATCCTATAAAAAATAAAGTCAAGAAACTAAAGTTTCTAGATACACGAAATATTTCATGAATGATTTAGTTTCAATAGTAATATTTCTTTGTACTATAGTTTTCATTATGTAATGTTCATGCTGTTTTTGTCAACAAGTCATATATTAGTAGTTAAAAGATGGTCTTGATTTTCAACGCGATAGCTCACTGAGTAGATAAATAAGATGACATTGCCTTTAAATTTATTACAACAACAGAGGTGAACCAATCTTTAACTTTATGTTATTTAAATACTGGATTTAAAGTTTAAACCTTGTATGAACCAGTCTTAAAAATTAATTCAATTAATTAAACTTGGCAAAATGATTATTATTTTTTTTGGGTGTGTCGCTTGATACGATTGGTTGAAATTCCGTTGATTAGAAACCATGATCTATAAGAAATATTGCGGTTCCGCATGAAATCAACTTTATATAAACACTGATTAGAATAAAGTTCATCCACACTATATGAAGCCCAGTTGATGAAATGTATCTGAGATAAATGTGGTTACTAGACGGAACTCTGGAAATAATAATAAATGAATTTGAGGGGCACAATGATTACTTTTAGATTACAACCAGCGAACAGATAGCACGAAAATTCTCCTTAGTATGAATCACGAGTGTCAAGCACGCGCACTGCTGAGGAGTCCCACGTTACAACCGTTTACTTACGTCTGTTGCCCCTCGTAGAGGAGCATAGGCCTCTCAACAGCGTTTTTTATCGAACTCTGTCCCGGGCAATCCTTTCCAGTTGCTATTCATCCTAACTTTGGTGTTGGCTGACAGTTGTTTCATATGTTCTTCAATTGTAGAAGCGTGGCACTAGCTTTACCAATCCTCTCCTATACGTCTGCATCCGATCTTCCTTGCTCATCAATGATGGTTCACAGGTACGTAGAAGATCCCACATCTTCCAGAGTTTTTCCACCAAGTGTGATTGAGCTGGTGTTCTTCGTGTTGTATTTAAGGATCTTGCTTTTTCCTCTGTGCATACTGCGGCCTGCTCATGCAGATGCTGTTGATACACTAGTTATCTTCATCTGCATTTGTTCTTGTGTATGGGATAGGAGGACTAGGTCACCTGCGAAGTCCAAATCTTCTAATTAATTCTGAAATGTCCATTGTATTCCGTGCTTCTCTTCAAATGCCCAGGTCTTCATAATCCAGTCAATCACCAGAAGAAAGAGAAATGGGGGGGGGGAGTAGACAGCTTTGTGTGACTTCAGTCCTTACTGGAAAGGCTTCTGTCAGCTGTCCTCTATGCACCACTTTGCATTATAGTCCTTCGTATGTGTTCCGGATAATGTTGACAATCTCACAGTTCGGTCTGTGTACGTCCGTTCATTACGGAATTCAGCCTTTTGATATCGCAGCTAAGCGTCTACTAATTTATTCATTCGGTTCGGCAACACTTTATTGGAAACGTTTCCTGCCACCGATGGTAGTGTTATGTCTTTGTAGTTTTCACATTTACACAGATCTTTCTTTGATACATTGATGGGGTATCGTTCTTTTCAATCTGTCGGCACTTGTTCCTCCCAAATATTTCACAACCGTTTACTGACAATAAATCTTAGTGTTTGTATTGATTAGAAAAAATGAAACTAGAACCATGACAATGAAAGAGATCCTACAAGCTATTTCTGAACACAGATATATTATTATTATTTAAACACATATATATTTTGGTACAAAAGGGCACCAGGTACATATGCGCCACACAAAATAATGAAAGTAGGAAGAGAAGGGATGAGAAGATAAGGCGGACTGAAGTGTACAACCAGAAGACTCTTTCAGTTAGGAAAGTTAGGACCATTCTTTATGTAGAAAGTAAAAGAAGGTTGCAGCAGGATCGCCACTGGCTTCTATTCTGAACCATATCTGATAACGTCTCTAGCCACTGTGTTGCACCATCTCTCGGACCCCAACCAGGGAGTCGTGAAGGACCAACGGAAGCTAGCCCTTTGCAGCTTTCTTTCATGCCACGACACCATGTCATACACTGACCTCCTCTCCGCTTTCTCCAACCAGTCCCAGGGTCGGCAAATAATGCACGACGTGGAAGTCTCTGGGACGACATTCGTAAAACATGTCCAAGCCACCGAAGTCGGTGTTTCAAGATGGTGACACCAATTGAATTATCGTCTCTGCGCCCGAACACACGATTCCGAACCTCTGCATTACTAACATGGTGTTGCCACTGGATGTCAGCAATCCTTCGGAGACAACGATGATCGAACACAGAGAGTCGTCTAACATCCTCAACTCGGAGAGGCCAGGTTTCACAAGCATAGAGCAAAACTGCTCTCACCGACGCGTTGTAGATCCGACCTTTTACAGCCAGACTAACATCACGAAGGTGCCAAAGATGGCCCAGATTGGCATAAGCCGCTCTGGCTTTCCTTATACGTGCATCAATCTCATCACTCACGCCACCACCAGCACTTATATAGCTACCTAGATACACGAACTTCTCAACTACTTCGATCTCCTCACCATCCAGGGTGAGTACAGGATTACAATCCTGCCAGTCTTGTAGGAGTACTTTGCACTTGGAGGGTGCAAAGCACATGCCGTACCTGCGGACACTGATTGCCAACTGATTAAGTGCGGATTGCATGCCTTGGGCATTATCGCACAGTAAGACAATATCATCCGCATACTCAAGGTCGAGAAGTCGTTCTCCAGGCAACATATCCACACCGCCATTACTTACATCCATCAGAGCTGTTTCCAGGATGTCGTCGATAGCAAAGTTGAAGAGGAATGGTGAGTTCGGGCAACCCTGCCTAACCCCACTGCTCGAATGGAACAAGGGAGAAAGGTGGTTGTATGCCCTCACTCTGCCTGAGGTGTTCGTGTACAGGGCCTTTAGGATGTTAATGAACTTCTCAGGCACACCCTTCTTCAATAGACAATTCCAGAGAACAGTCCTGTCCAACGAATCGAAGGCAGCCCTGATATCAAGAAAAACTACGATTGTTGGCCCGCGATAAGTATGATGGTGTTCTAACATTTGGCGAAGGGTGAAGATATGATCAATACATCCTCAACCAGAACAAAAACCAGCCTGCTCCTCGCGAGTCAATCGTTCTCGAGTTTTAAACAACCTACGAAGAATGATAGAAGCCAATAGTTTGGACGCAATCGAAAGTAGACTTATCCCCCGATAGTTATTGCAGGAACAACGTGAACCCTTTTTAAAGATAGGGACGACTATTGACTCATTCCATGATGTTGGAACACTTTCTTGCTCCCAAACCTTTCCAAACAACGCAGTCAGTTCCTTAGCCAGAAAGTCACCACCATCTTTAAAAAGAGGCGGAGGTAAGTCATCTGGGCCAGGTGATTTGTAGCGCTTCAAGAGTTGGAGTTCCTTGAGGACTTCCGCCTCGTTTGGTGGAACAGTCGTCACCGGCCATGGGGGGCAGGACAAGCTGGTTGATGTTGCCGGAGCAGCAGGCCAGTTGAACTGCCCTTCGAAAAATTCCGCCCATCGTCCAAGACGTCGACAGATGTTAGTGATTGGCATCCCATCATCCTCGTAGATTGTTTCACTCACACCAGACTTCTTGCTGCCAGTGGCTCGGATGAGTTGGAAGAGCTTCCGGCAGTTGCCAGATGCAGCTGCTGCTTCCATCTCATTAGCACTCTCCGACCACCAGGCTTCCCGGTCCTTACGCAAGCTTTGCCCGATTTCATTACGTAACAGCCTTCGTTTGTGGTCAAACTCACGGTCACCCGGAGTAGACCGACGGGCTTCCATCAGTTGTAAGGAGCCAGAAGAAACCCAGTGCTTGTAAGCGGGACGTTTCGCGAAGCCGCAAGCGGCTTTACTCGCCATTTTCATGGCGTCGTGAAGATATAGCTTTAGTTACGCATAGCCAGCGCTTCTCGAATGCAATGCGATATATTTATACAACTTTGGCGGATGGGATTTGATACTATTAACAATATCGAACGTTGAGTCATTTGCTACTGAGTTATGGTCGACTACACTCTGTAAAGTAAGACATATGATTGAATAATTGTTGTGTTGATCTAACCAGGCTTTGTCTTTCGCATATCACTCTCAAATTTTCTTTTCAAATCGATTATTTTTGATATATTTTGATGAAATCTGAAGATTCGCCAATAAATTAGTTATTAGGTACTAAAGATCCTCCTTTATGTTATCTTCTCAGATTTTTACTGATTGTAAAGTTAGGAAATGTGTGGCGTTTCGCTTTCTGTTTATAGAGCCAACACACTTTCTCAATTCTATGTGAATATCCTATTGGTAGATCAATTCAAAAGTTTTCTGGTTCCTTTTCATGAACAGAATACTATCCAAGGGTGGATTTTACGCACAGATGACATTTGGCTACTAACTTTAGTCTGTTTTCAACCTCCAAGTGTTCTCCACATATGAAGAACACACCAACTCTAATTAAGAATATGGAAGTAGAAAAATCGATTTATGTCTAAAGCTGAAGTATGTGATATTCTCTTTCTGTGTATGGTTTCATAGACGATTATAGATCCAATCGTTTTAGAAATTTCGTGTAATTTCACTGTGATAAACTAGTTTATTTTCACATCCTTGAAAGTACATGTGAGTTGTCAGTTATTTTTTCTATCGATTTCACGTTTTATGAATTTCAGAACAAATAAATTTGATTACTGCAATGTTTAAGATTTGTTTCAACAATACGATCGTCTGATTGAGTCTTTGAAATAACTTCATTTCTATTTACTCTATTAAACTGTTCGGATTTTCGGTATGATATCAAGAATGTTAATCTGATTAGATGTACTACTGGCATCAATTTGAGTAATTTATATATTGTTATAGACTACATTACATATCTGGATAAACAGCATAGGAGACTACCCGTTTTGTTGAAACAATGCATCTTTATCTAAATTATTAAGGTAGTAGCACTTTTAAATGAAAAGTCTGTAGAGTGTATTCGAAATTATATAACTTCTGAAATCTAAGTTAGTATTCACTACTTCTGTGATCTTAATGATTCTAAAGTTCAATCAGTCTTGATAAATGCATACATAATTATATTTTACATTAATATACACTAATAACATTATGTTTTAATAGAAAAGAAAATGAGAAAAAAAACAGAAGAACTATCGTGCTTACATCTATGTCGACATCATCTAATGTCCAACAACAATATGTGCCTAGAAATATCCAAGCTGCTATGAAACAGAAAATGGTAGCAAGCCATAATAAAATGTATCCAGAACCATAATCAATAGATGTTGTTGTTCGTTGTTTCTGTTTTCAATTATATGGTATGATGTGATAGATAAAGAGAGAAAATAATCTTAACTTCAAAGTTGTTATAAAGTAAAAGCTACTCTAATTACAATCAATGGAAATATTTTGTAAGTTATCTAGAAATACAATATTCAGTCAACATTTATAGATGAATAACAAGTCGTTTATAGATATAAACTGGATTCTTTTGACTGGGTACATAAGTGAACATAGATCCTCTGTTTCCATATATACCTTAGGGAAATAAATTTATTTATTATTGTTTATAGTAAGTTATTTCATACATATCTTACTTACTTACTTACTCACTTACGCTTGGTACTCCCAATGGAGCATAAGTTGCCGACTAGCATTCTCCAACCCACTATGTCCTCCATCTTCCTTTAAAGTTCTATCCAATTCTTGTTCATTCTTCTCAGGTCTGTCTCTATTTCTCGGCGTAATGTGTTCTTTGGTCTTTCTCTTCTCCTTTGACCTTCAGGACTCCATGTGAGGGCTTGCCTTGTAACGCCGCTGGGTGATTTCCTCAATGTGTATCCTATCCACTTCCAGCGCCTCTTCCTGATTTCTTCCTCCGCTGGAATCTGGTTTGTTCTCGCACACAGTAGCTTGTTGCTGATAGTGTCTGGCCAGTGGATCCGAAATATCTTGCGTAGACAACTGTTGATAAACACCTGTATCTTCTGGATGATGGCTTTCGTAGTTCTTCACGTCTCCGCCCCATACAGTAGATTTCAAATGTATCAGTAGAATGCTAATTTATCAAAAGCAGTGTATCATGACAAATTGTCTGAAATAATAAGCACTTTTGTCGTCTAGATAAGCATTGTTGATTTTGAGATGGAGATTTGTAGCTCAAGTGGATGATTTTGATGGAGTTCTGTTCTCACGACTAAGCCATCCAGCTCAAGGAACAAAACTCCATCAAATTGTTGATTTTTTAGCATTTAGTATGCAATTAAAGTTATCGTAACAAGTGAAATGTTTATCATCTTTGCAAAACAGTGGGATGTATTATCACACTACTCTTAGCTATCACAATGCTTTCATTGTCAGCTAGCCAATTGAAATAGCATACAATTTTGCATACAATCTGACAGCCTATTTTTTATACAATAAATATGTGTTAGCCACTCTATTGATGAAAAGTCCTATAATGTAGAAGATATTTTCAGTTAGTTTTTTGATATAATTTTCCTTCAAGGTTAATAGGTACAATAAACACTCCCTATGCTGACTTTCTAGGAATTTTTAAATTCTCATAGTTGAAATCATGAGTCAATTGAAGCTAGACCACCATTGAAAACCTGGAGGCACTGGACGGCCGTTTCGTCCTAATGTGGGACTCTTCAGCAGTGGGCATCCACGATCCCGCCTCGCGAGCGAGATTCGAACCCAGGACCTACCAGTCTCGTGCCAGAGCGCTTAACCATCACTTGCAAGGCGGGATCATGGATGTGCACTGCTGAGGAGTCCCACAATAAGACGAAACGGCCGTCCAGTGCTTCCAGGTTTTCCATGGTGGTCTAGCTTCAACTGACTCATGATTTCAACTTTATAGTACTTATTTGTTTAAAGATAAATGGAACTATTAAAATACTTTTTAATGATACTAACAATTTATAATCTTGATAGTTTAAGTGTCTAGAACGATATGATAAAGCTAATCATATCAATGATATAAACATACTTCGTCTAATAGTCATAATGAATAGAATATATTTAAATGAGGTAACTATTTAATTGTAAAATAAGACGTTAGGAATCACTAATGTATCTCTAGGTATACAATTCTCTTTATGTAGATATTGTGTAGACATCCTGTAAATGTAATATAGAGTTATTGTTTAAGGTAGTAAGTTTGTAGAGGCTATTTAAATTGTAGATAATTATTATCATAGATTACTTCAGTTGGAGAACGATTGGAAAACATAGAGTGCTAAACAGCATCACATCGCTTGAAACTTGAGAAAAGTCCACACCTATGATTTCAGCATTATATAGAGAACTGGTTGATATCAAAATATACCATTTTCTTTCATAGGTTCCGTTTAATGGAAGCTTTCGATCTAACATACTTGGTAAATAAACGTTTTAATAGATATACCATACAGTAGAATATCACAACCAATATGTTCGTTACTTGAAGCACTTTCTGGATTCCCTAAATAATCGTAATTTTGAGCTCCGAATAGTAGTGAAAGATCGTGAAACAAGATTAGAAGCTTAATTTCGAGGTCAAACGATGTAATTTTGACCTTGCAAAAGCTTCTGAAAATTCAGTAAGTTTAGCAGCAAAATAAATAGTTATCTAACAAAATTATAACATGCAATCCTTGATATTTCAGGAGGGTTCTGCAAAGCATCTACTGGTTACCGATTGTGTGAGATATCTTGGGCTTTTTTCTGGTTTTTGGAGACCATATTGAAGAATTCTGGGTATCTCTTAACCATAACAAAACTATATGGAATATATCGGTAGCAAAACATAATAAAACCAATGATCAAGTGATTTTTTCATTGAAATAAATTGAATAATCTTTCTATGAAGAACGATTACATTTTGTTTGAAATATGAATGGAATTCCTTACTTCAGACCATTGGTTAAATCCATATGGGTATCCAGATGATTTACCGTATTTATCTTCAAATTGTTCGACATGAAACATTATTATTGAACTTTGAAGACAAAATCCTTCATAAAACATTTAAAAATAAAAAAGGATTTTTCGAATTAAAACACTGTCACTGATAGAATGAACAATATTTACCAATTTTGTAAATAACGAAGCAATATAGGCTAATTTGACTGTAAGCGAATACAATAATTAATAATGCAACTAATTTAACAAGCAAGCTCCACTATACTAAGATTTGAACCTAAACAACTTTCTATAAAACTATATTACCCAGCTGTTCAACCTTAATGAGTAGGGCAGATTTCAAATTTACATGTTAGTGGGTGTTTTAACCAATAAGTCATTCATTCAAAAGTCAATGCATTGGTTTTTCACCGCAATATATTGATTTATGTTAAAACTCAAGAAGTAAACAACAAAAGAATATAGAAATAAAGTGAATAGAATCAGACAGGGATTCAAGATACCGACTGTACTAAAGTATTTCCAGATTTTTAAATCTAGAACAAGAAGTATCTGAAAACGACGAGATTATTCGTAGTAGAGTAGAAATAAATAAATTTGAGACATCAAAATCATTTCACTGCCGATTTCTGTATTAATTCCACTTTATTTAATTTAAACTTTCCAGTAGATTTCACATAGAAAACACACTCTTTCTCATATGATTCAACTCATTGTGTAATTATCATAGGAATCTGTATATTAGTAATGCTTAAATATACCTGTTACATCCCGTGGAGAATTATGAATGGTAACTTTGAGGACTATTTATGGACCAATGTGATATGTATATTTCCTATTGTATAATTGCTAAGTAACTAAACTATTCGTATTTGTGTTCCTCTTATCATAAGCTTTATTTTGACCTATGAACTATTATTATACGATTTACCATTTCTGAGTTATCCCTGGACCATTAATTACTGTTCCCCCTATTCACTGTTACATTTGATCAAATCTTGTGCAAATGTTGTTTCCTACTTTATGGTACGATGTGGTCAGTTTGTTTGTTGTATAAACCCAGTATGTTTGAGAATAATGATTCATACTGCACGGGCTGTTATTGGTGTTCTGGACTCAACTGGCTGGGTTATGCAGATAGCAAGACTGATAAGTGCTCAAGACTGCTCATACTGTTTTCGTGTATCATTGCTCTGATCGATAATTCACTACTCTCTAATTGGCGGTCATATCACGTCACATATTAACAGGGCACTCACTCAATCGATATAACAATACCCATATTTTCATCTCTACTTTGAGTCACTATAAAGCGTCGAGGCTATCTACTTCATTCAGCCATTCTAGCTTGGTTATAGAAATAGTTCAATTAAATTTCAAACTCCCAGTATTTAATAAAATGTCAACAAACTTGTTTCGAATACATCATTACCATCAAAATAGTTTCTGTAAAATCGAACCTTCTACAAAATGTAGAGCACAGCAGTTGTCGGTAACTCTATCTCTCTCTCCAGCTACAATATAGGACTTGTGATTATTCATGTTATGTATATGAATCTTAATTACTCGAAAATAGTAAGTCACTTGTGAAATTCGACATATCACAACCTAAAATTTCTTCTCATACCATATAATTTATGACGGTTGCCAGCTTATCAGAATGTATGAGTTTCAAAACACAATAACTATTCTTGTTTGCATAACGATGTTTTCTTCTCAGAAGGAGAAAAATACCATCTACTTGTTATTGAATTAGAATGAAATCGTCTTTAAAATAAAACAAAATTATATTTCTCTATTTTGTTTAACTTACCAGCTAACATAAGAAATATACCTATAATTAATCGCCAATTTCTGAAACACTTATTATCTCTATTCTGTTTATACCAAACAATTATCAATACAAGGGCAGCGATAAAACAAATACACATGATAATTATTGCTATTGAATGCATAGCCAGTTCGGCAAGACGTAGATCTATAGATGGATATGTACAAGATATTCGGAAAAATAAAAAGGAATTAATTATATTGCCAGAATAAATATGGGACATAATTTTCTAGTGAAAAGAATATAAACCTTCGTCAATGAAATATATTAGTTGTTTTTAATGTAGATTGTAGATAATATATGGTGTTTCACATGGTTCGAGCTCTAATATTCTTTTGTAATTTCACTTCTTTGCATTCCAATGGTCGCTTTCAAAATTATATTTATTTTCATGTTTTTTACTGACAATGGAATCATGGACGAGCCTTTAGTTTTACTTAAGAATTATCCACTTAGTGTACCTGAATCTCACTGTTGAAGTTAACACTAGGTCTTAAACGAAGTATGTTTTGCTTTAGACCACCAACACTATCTGCTGAGTTACGGAGTCCATATAGTCAGTGGCCTGTGATGGGAATGAAATTTCTTAAACTCATACAAACACCATTGATATTATTCTTATTTTGATTTCGCTTAATTACCATGCGATGTAGTTTTACTAGAGAGTGTGTTATACCGGACTAATAAATATTTATGTCAGATCTCATACTAATCATAACCGACTGACTTATTCATGATCTATGAGATAATTTCTTTTTGGTTAAATTTGATTCCCTGGGCTGAACGGTTCGATAGTGAGTTTCTGGAAGAAATGGTCAGTACGAACTTCAAATAGATGTGGACTATTGAAATTTTTCCGCACATGACTCACATCTTGTTTTTTCGGCCTCTGATAAGTTGTTTCTGACCCTTTTCATGTCATTGCCTGCATAGTTATTTTGATTATCTTACCATTCGACCTTCACGATTAAATAACGCAATATAGGAAACAAAAGTTCACCAAATTCAGCCATCTGAGCCACAAATCTCCTCAATTACTTCAAAGTGATGCTTTCTTATGAGCAAGTTTTCTTGTTGCCTTTCTTCTGTGTTATTGAGAAGTTTCTTCGTTTACTTTGTCGTCATGAATGTTTTATCTCATTCCTTAATAATACCTTGTTATTAAATAAGCTATAATTCAGTTGGTAAAATTTCCAATACCAATCTACCTTTCTTCACTGATGGTATTGATGGCAATCGATAAGTTATTATTCAGGTGGCGAATTGACAGAAACCAGCCAAAAAGTATTGCGACTATAAGTTCAGCAAACTCTCGATTATCATACCATGAGATTAAATAGTTGATTTACAAGGCGCAGATGAAGTCGTTTTGTTTAATGAAGTCTCTGAAAAAAGTACAAATTCTTCGGACTCCTTTAAGCAACAATGCAAGTATGTGATTCTCTACCTCTAGTTACGAAATCCTGCTTTAGGACTACTCTGTATCAGCTGCCGCATCAAAGATGGGGGATAAATTAGTGAGTGGGTCGATCGCTCTACTTATTTGCGATTTTACGCAATGTGCTATGTAAATATAACATAATAAAGCTTCGTCAACTGAGGTGGTTAGCATGTGTTACATATACCCGATCACCATCTATCTCGACTGGCGATATTGCCTGATGTTCAATTAATATGTGAGAAATCTGAGATCGACTAAACCTAAAAAATGTATCAGTCTACGAGGTCATCAACATTTGAACTGAAATGAAATGGCCGTCCAGTGTTTTCAGGTTTTCAATAGTGGTCTAGCTTAGTTTGTCTCGTAATCTCAACAACAAAATCACTTCATTACATTTTGTACCTGCTAAATAGTGAAGGAAAAAGAAGCAACAAATTCAATTCTAGTTACAATACAAATAAAAGTCCCCGTAAAACAACACATCGTTTAAAATGGATTTCATGAACGGAAATCACAATCCATATTTTGTCACTTAAATTGACGCATGTATATGTATATATGTACAAAATAAAGGAAATTTTTACAATTTTGGTACTCGTGTCTGTCGGTATCTGGTATATCTATGGATATGACTCAAACGTTTTGATTAATAGTGACAAAATATATCAGTTAATTAGTCACAGATTAACTTAATACAACAATTAGTGTCAAAGCTAATGCATAGGATGATGACAAGCCTTTGAAGTTGATGAGATCATAACAACGTCTTAAACGTCAGAAATTGGGAGGTTATAATAAAGTACTTCTATCTATTGAATAGGAGATTATGATATTGTCTGAAGTGAAATTGTAAACCAAGTATTTATATTATCTTGCACAGAAAAATAGGCTACAATTATCTTTGATTATACTTTTTCATTGCATTGTAATAGTAATCATTATCACTATCCATCTTTGCTTATAATGCTTGTGAATTAAGGCTATATCGAGGCAATACGCACAGTATACAAATATGCCAATAAGAGACCGACCAGTTGCAGTCCTAAGCATCAATGGGAAGATTCAAACAAACTATACTAAGTAATCAGTATATTTATCAAGACTAAATTGGCTAATTGAAAAAAAGGAAAAAGAAAATTACATTCAAATTATGAATAAATGAATTGATATTGTAACGTACTTGTCATTAAAGTTGAATATTCATCTACATAACTTGAATCACGTTGCTGGCATGTGTTATCTATATTTTAACAAAAAGTGATAACAAAAATTATAATTAAATAATATAATGCCCTGGTACGGCTGACAGTGGGAAGAGTCCGCTCTCCCTCTCGAAATGCTCTCACACGACCACGCGTATATAGACTCTGCAAGGGAAGTCTTACTCAATGCCTTCTCGTGGCGGGGATGTAATTTACGAACTTGAGAGGAAGAAAAGCGAATATCCGGCGCTTTAACCGGGATGGTGGATACAGAAAGTCCACCTAGAGGAATTGGAAAACCCGGATTCCAAACCAATGGTGTACATGGGCTCCAGTATCCTGAGGGAACAAATGGCATATGAATCAATCGTTGGTCGCTGGCTACCATGGAACTGCATCTCCTTACGATGCTCCACTGCCTTGTTGATCAGATCTTTAGGTCAAAGGTTCTGGGTGAGGCCCCCTAAAGAAATCACCTGCTTTGGTTTGGTCACCCGGGTGATATCACAGCCCTCACACAAATCAAATGAGATTTGTGTGGCGCATATATATCTGATGCCCCTTCGTACCAATATTTATGTGTTTAAATAAATAAATATTAAATAAATAATATTCTGAATATTATAAATTATTTATGCAGCATATAATCCCGACAACTGCATCTCTGTGTTAATGTGGTATGGCAACTCGAAATGATGTACGTACGTACTGAGTTCTACGTTGTAACTGACTGACTGATACAGCATATAATATGTGATGTAATACCATCTGAATTCTTTAACCATTACTACTGAATATAAATTGTATTATTTGCGTTCAAAATATTTCATTAATAAAGGAACTTTTGAAAACTGATATTAATTGACAATCTTATGGTATATAAATCAACTCTATTTCTTTAGGCATCAACATATTCTTGTAAGTAGTAGATTGTATAATGTAATACTTTGATAAATTGCTTTTGTATAAGTATACCAACTTTAATTTATTAATTAATCCGAGAAATACATCAAAAGTGGTGATATATTCATTGTTTTTTTTATTTTCAAAACTAATCCTTTATGGTTGAAAGCGTGAGTCAATTGAAGCTAAACCACCAGGAAAAACCTGAAAGCACTGGACGGCCGTTTCGTCATATTGTGGAACTCTTCAGCAATCCAAATCCACGACCTCGTCTCGCGAGATATATGGAATTATATTTTAATTGATCACTATTCTATGGTGACAACAGTTGCTCCTTGTCGAGTTAGTTAAGCTGGACAATGTTTCATAAGAATTTGTTTATAGTATATGGATATATAAACGTAAGAGATAAGCAACATTAATGATTGTTTGTTAGATCAGTTAACATTATGAGACAAATGAGAAACTTAATGACCAACAAATTTGTTCCTGTAGATTATTTTGGTAATTCATTTCTGGCTTTATCTGTATTCTGAATTTTCTTGACTACCAATGGTGATTAGAATTGTTCTAAGAGTTGTCCGATAAATGTTAGTAAAATGACTATCCCAATCAATATGAATGAATAGAGCAGAACATTAATTAGTATTTAGAGACGGCTAATGTCAAAAGGACTCCGTAAATTAGTTATATTTGACACTTATAACAGTGTGATTTTGAGATACTGTAAATTGTATACCTACAACAAGTTATTAATAAACTAAAGTACTATTGAGTTTAATCGATTTCAATTTGACAATAATGGTCAATGTTAATCAAATAAATAAGATTCAATGCATTCAGACATAGTTCTGATCTATTTGTGGTATAGAATCTTTATTCATCATTTTTGTCTTCTCCTCTGTTATTAGTTGTATCAACTTTTTGTTAAGTTATAACGTTTATTGCATAATTGATTGCGATTACGTAAGAAACGTAGAAATAGCATACATGATTGCATCGCTGAAAAATAGAGATTAATATATAGAAGAATTTCTTAGTTACGTTAACACGACAGAGACCAGTAAATTCTTTAGCGGTTACATTTGATGAGTATTTAGTTAAGGTAATTTATGAGAATATAAACAAATAAAATGGAAAAATGTAACTTTTACATTTTTCTGTTTATTACCTGATGTAAAGCATACTTGTGTATAACCCATACTTCTAGCTTTGTTTACATTGGCATTGGATGCATCAAACACTGATGGAGCAATCATAACAAATGTTGGTAGAGCGACGGAAGCAGCAGCCAAAGCAATGGCCACTGCCAAAATTATAAAACCTGTAATTATCCAACTTCGTGTATAATTTAAAGCCTTAAAGTCATAGTCTTCTTCACCTGCAAAGTCCAATTGGTCTTTAAATGTCATATCTGTAAAAAAACAATATTATAATTAATCTCATTTGTTAAACTATTTTTATTAATTTAAGTGAAATATTTCATTATTACTTCGTGTCAAATTACTTCTTGCCATTTTAAGTAAAATAACATTAGACTAATTCTGTCCTTTTGATTTGGTGTCGTAATCAATTAGGTTTCACAGCTGGGAATTTTCTGACAGACTGAGACCAACTTGTTTCATAGATATTAATATATCGTCTAGTATAACTTAAGGAAATAATCAGGTCGCATCAAAAACGAACAATGAAAAAATTAGGATACATTAGTTCATTACAACTAAACTCTCCACGGTTATGTGTTAAATATCAGTTACCATGAGAGTTTTGAAGGCGCCACACGGGTAAACTTTACTTGCTTGAGAAGCAATGAGTTGTTCAATTTCTGTTCTGGAACTAAATTCAATGTCCAACAACTAACAATTTAATGAAATGGCAATGTTTCGTATGACAAGTCTAATTTGTTGCCACTAAATTCTGTGTTAAAATATATTTATATAAAGATCACATTTTAAGTGTGTATCCAAGAGCCTATAAATCTCGGTTCAAAAAATCATAGTTAACCACACATAGATTACTCAAACGTAAACCTTCTGTCTAATGCTAAATCAATTAAACGTTTGAATTTCAGTTTAATTAGAATCTATTCAAACAGCTTATTAGTAAGTTTGATGAATTTAACGTCAGCGAATTGAGCATTCAAAGGTGATTGTCTAAAAATCGAACTGCAAACGAATAAAAAATGAATATTTTAATTGTCTTTTCTTCATGAAACTCACTTATAGTGATTATCTGTTCAGAGATTTGATACAAATTATATCAACGAACTGATAAAATGTATATTAAGTTTCTACTAGGTACTATTTAAGTTTTATGGTTTCATAGCATGGAACTGTAGTGTGGTCTACTTCTAACTATATAAGTAGTATATGGTGATGGTCAAACATAGAATGTATTTTGGTAGAAGACCAATAAGGAAAAAACCGGAACGAAGCGTAATCGGTACGAAAATGCATGAACAATGAAATAAGAGAAGAAGGACTGATATTTGTAGAAGGAATAGTTAAGATTGAGACAACTGATTGATAGTTTGTAAATTAACTGTTGAATGTATGGTTATCAGAATTTAGTGAGATAAACTGTAATTTGTGCTTAAATACATTTGATTGTCCCCAACCGGTCTTCTGTTCACAACAATACAATATGTTAGTAGTGTACTTAACTATCTTTCATCTAGCCCAAGTTTCCAAATAATTCTACTTTACGAATCCACCCTTTATTATTTGTTTTTATCTCATAGCTTTCTTTTAGTGTTATAGCTAATATACCACCATGTTATTCTCATTAGAATATTATGAATTTCCAAAAAACCGGATAATTTGTACTAGTTCAAAGAAGTATTCATAATAGATAACAAGAAAATCAACAAAATTTCTCATCAGAAATTACAATCAAAATCGATATCACATAATTTTGGTGATTACAAGTTTTGGTGCGCATTCATTGATTAATTGGATCTCTATCACAAAATATTCAATATCTAGTTAGTTGTTAGAACATTAAATCAAATGAAAATCAATAAGAGGATACAGAATATTACTTAGTTACAATGAATCCGTAAACAATGAATGAACCAGTTATAATAATAAAAGTAAAAATAATATTTCATATTGGATGAAGTATAGTTGTTGTGAACAAGAACATAGATGGGGACAATCGAATGTATTTAAACACAAATTACAGACTATCTCACTACATTCTGATAACCATGGTGTTTGTCAACTATATTGTCTTTCTATGTAACTTTATTATGGTTAGCTGGATCTCTACCAATGTATTCAGAGTCACTGTATACGAACATAATGAATAGATGCTTTGACGAAATTTAACATTCATTAACTTATTTTCTAAGTATATAATACTGTAGTATACAGAACACCCGTTGTGGACAATCAAATGTATTTAAGCACAAATTACAGTTTATCTCACTAAATTCTGATAACCATACATTCAACAGTTAATTTACAAACTATCAATCAATTTATACGAATTATTTAAATTTCAAACGCTGAGACTATTTCAAATATAATTTTTTCACATATAAGGTATCAATCAATTGTCTCAATCTTAACTATTCCTTCTACAAATATCAATCCTTCTTCTCTTATTTCATTGTTCATGCATTTTCGTACCGATTACGCTTCGTTTCGGTTTTTTCCTTATTGGTCTTCTACCAAAATACATTCTATGTTCGACCATCACCATATACTACTTATATAGGTAGAAGTAGACCATACCACGTAATGACTTCAAATTATTGTAAGGTCATGTATACATTTATCTCCCTTTTATTGCTGACTCAATAACAATTGTTAAGCGATCAAAAAATACATACATTTTGATCAGTTCAAATTGAATTATCACATCATATTCTCTATTGTCAATAGTACCAATTTCTTCAATACTATTGAAAACTGTCATAAAGTAAGTTGATACATATAAGTTGATGAATGAGCTTGGTAACACAACCTTTAAATATATTCAAGGTAATAAATTCAGAATCACTTGATCTTGATGGAAGTGGAATGTGCATGAATGAATGAATTGATCAATTCATTTACATAACCCAACTCCATATTAAACCATAAGTATTTATGATATAATTGTTTATTCGCAAAAATGTTTAAAAAAAAAAAAACTGGATATCTATTTTAATGTACCTACTTAATGTAGTCAAGTTACATTTTTGAAATCTGATGTATTCAGACTACTATCAAATCTAGTTTGAAGACAATTTTGTGTACAATTAAGTAATTGAAGTTAATCAGATAAATATATGATTGTCAGTTTGATAGTTGTGAAGATTATCATTAAGATTATGAACTAATGATTAAGTAAGTGAGATCGATTTATGATCTTGTAATGATGATGATTATTTATACGATCAGTAGAGATAAGAAAATTTCTAGTATCTGATATAAAGAATAGTGTACTGTGTTCAAATAATTAATTTTCATAGTTTAAAAATGAGCTTAAAATAATTGGAAACAATTACAGTCAATTGTTAGTCAATCAGAAAAAGAAAACTTTTATCGATAAACAGTTTATGAAAGGTAGATGATAATATTATAAATGGTAAATAGACTGACATAACACTTACACTACCCATATTTGTTTATTAACATACCACACATATAACTTAAACGCTTAAGATAAAATATACTAAATTAATTAATAAAACACATATGAAGACAAGATGATGGTTGGAGATGATCAACAGGAAACTCTGGACCCGGGTTTGGTGCTACTTGACATTCGTCAGCAAGGTGTACCTGTAATATTGAGTGAACTGGTGCTCTCTGACGGATTTGAGCTTCACAGTCAGAGAAAGACTTGACACGCATGACATCGATCACCACCTAGTGATCAATCAATTGTGATTATATATGAAAATCATTGAACGTCTAGACGTGTACACAAAATTTAAGCAAATATTTTGTCAGGATTAATTATTTGTGTCGATTTCAAACCCATTCTTTAATAACTTATGTTACATGTTTAAACAAAAGGAATATAAAAATATGGTGGAAAACGCGATGAATATAGATCGGCAAACAAGAAATCAGAAGTTTCTAATGAAATCAGTTTGATGAATTAAATTACGAAAGTGAATGTACGGATACAATAACACACAGTTAATTAATCCTACTGACATTACTGATAACTTAGTCAAGTTAGTTGTCTACTATTTAAAGAATGAGTGTATTGAGTAAAGTTTCTCATTGTTACTTTTTCTGTCTATGAAAAAAAGATCTTAAAAGTTGAATATATGTGAGCGTTCTAATAGTCGAACATCGATTTACTTAGATTCTTACCCGTGAACCACTCAACCATTACACAGTTACTGCTTAAGTAAGTGTAAGACACTAAGTAGAGTTGATGAAGGTAATAACTTTCATTGATTAAAGTGCTTGGAAATAATGTTTTCCAATTTTTATCATTCTTGTACAATTGCGTTTATCAGCATTACCTTAGTATCATACAGTATCCATAGTGTTGCGAATCTTTGATTGATTAACTATGAAGACATCTTATTTTGCGATCTCATTTGTAGCGACTATCTTCTACACATAATTAGTACCTACTATCTGACTTTGACATAGTGACTTAGTTTATGTCTTAGACGAAATACGATAGCAATTATCATTGTTCAGAAAGTATTCATTCATAATAAGCAAACCTCTTCCCTTTCTGAATTATAATTGATAATCAGAAGGGGATTTGTGGAGATTTCAGTATATTTCAAAGTTGAAATCATGAGTCAATTGAAGCTAGACCAGGTTTTCGATAGTGGTCTAGCTTCAATTGACTCATGATTTCAACTTTGAAATATAATTGATAACTTTGAATGTCCTCATTATTGTTAAGTAATTTTTTCATTAGGTTTCGTTGATTATTATATGATAACTACTCGAAATAGGATTTCTATATGATTTTGCCTACAACACTTATGTATCTTACTGTACAATCCACTTCAAATATCTGATACACCAGGTAAGTTCCTTATAATTCAAGTCATGAACAGATATTATTCCGTTAAAATTCGTATGGATAGTAACTCAGATGATAATCTTTTGTTTGTGAAACAGTAAATTCTTGAGTTTATCCTGAAAAAACAAAATGAGATGTTCTCCCATCAAAATATACTACCTATCTAAATCCTGTTGTTCCTAACAGCTGTTTCAATAATTTGATTTTATTAGTTGAATTCATGAGTCAATTGAAGCTAGACCAACATTGGAAAACCTAGAAGCAATGGACAGCCAAATCGTCAAAGTATTAGACTCCTCAGCAGTGTGCATCCATGATCCCGTCGGCGGGATCCGAACTTAAGACCAATCGGTCTTGTGCGCGAGCTCTTAACCTGTAGACAACTAAACCGGCATCCAACGATGTTAATGTTAAACTTCAA